AGATTTATCTGCACTTCACGGTAGTTAACCTGATCCGGTTCGGCCCCACTCGTGCTTAAGCTCCAGTGGGAGTGCAACGGTAGTCACCTTACCTATCACATCAATGAACAAAAAATTTAATGGGTGCATTCGCTGATACCACTCGATTCCTTTGTGCTGGGGACTTTCAGAATTCTGTCAACCAATAATATCCACCATAGGGGAAACATCATTTTTGTCAGAAAGCTGTGCAGCGCTCCACGCTACTTTTATTATCTATTTGGCATCGTGAATCCCTTTTTTTTATTTTTCACACATCAGTTAGCTTTCCGTGCTCCAACATGGTGGGTGTAGGTGCTGGTGTGGATAAATCCAGCAGTTCGACGCTCCGCAAAAAGCGACAATGGCGACCACAAACTGGGGCAGCGGAGCGCAGACAGCCCCAAAGGTCAAGAACCTTGAAATTCTGGGGGAAACTATTAAGATATATGGGACTAATCGTCATGCGCGTGTTGGATGAGGATATACCATTAGTGGAGGATGTGAACGAAGCCCTGAAGGCTTTCAACGCGCACAAAAGGGCCTTGACGTAAATGTCTCTGAAAAAGTCTCCAATCGAGGAAAGGAAGATGGCGCTACAGGAGATTGTCAAGAAGAGCCTCACAGATCCCGTTTGTATTGCTGCACCACGAGTGGCAACGGGGATGCTGCAACTAAGGACCCACGCGTCGGTTATAGCTCCGAAAATGACGAAAACGGCGGTACAAGTTAGAATCAACCGAGTGGATAAATAGCAGCCTGAAGCGCTGCTATAAAAGGCGAAAGAACATGTCCAAGGCGCAGACGCAATTCGTCTGATACGCAGTAATGACACTGGGGTGTTTGTCCAGTCGGCGTTCCAGAGGGATGCGGCGCTATATTTGCGACAACCAATCGACTTTCAAAGTTTGCGGCAGGACTTTCCAGTCGAGGTTTCTGGAGTCCCACTGCGGACAAAAAGTTGAAGATGGCAGAAATGTCAACAATCAGGCCATTAACAGCGAGATGGAAACTGCGACTAGGGCTCGAATTCCCAGCCTAGCGATAAATCGCATAAGGTGGTTATATGACGGAAAAGAACACGCGCGGTCAAAGAGAAACGGCCACAATCGAGGATCAATCGTGGTCAGCCACCTATCCGAGGCAATGCAAACGGAAGTGGTCCGAGACGGCTTTGTCATAAACGCCACGCTCTTCATTGTACAAGTTAGGTCACCACGAGCCCAACCAAAGCAGTGTTACAACTGCAGTCAGCGGGGACACACACAGGCGTCGTGTGGAAAGGCTGTCATGTGCGGTGAGTGTGCAGGTGCTCACCCAACTCGTGACTGTCAGAGGAAGAGGGTTTCTTGCGCGAACTGCGGTAGGAAACACCGTTCGTGGCAAAAAGCAGCGTGTCGGACTTATCAAGTCTACAAGAGAAGTATGGAGAAGGCTCGGATGGAGCTGTTATCAAGAACGGCGGAGAACTGAAATAAGAAACCCCCAACGGCACTAATGCGAATAGTCGGAACGACTGATGATCAGGGATTCACTTTGGTCACCAGTAAGAAGAGTGAAGGACTCAGAAGAAAGCCGGCACGACCGCGAAAGGTAGTTGAAGCCCCTGCGGCACAAACCAACCTGTCGATAATAGCACCACCAGCGGGACCAACTTTCCGAAAACTTCGACGACCAACGCAGAGTGAGGGGTAACCTTCGTTGTTCAATTTCTCATAGCATCAGTCTGATCGAAGGAGGAGTTAACGAATTCCGGGGAAAGTTTATAAAGTTATGGTTGAAAGGAACGTCCTCAGCATTAAGCCGGGTTGGTTCAGAGGGACAGGACATCGGGTTTTGTTTGTTGAAAGCTTTTTCCCTTCCTAACATGACTTACCGTCTTCATGGTTCTGTAATATAGATACGGCATAGGGCGTTAGTGTCCTAACCATTAACACCATGGTAATTTGGTGGGAATTAGCTATAGGCATGTGATTGTAATGGGGTGTATGATATGATAATTGTAAACTAGGCAAGAGCGAGTAAGGGTTTGTGGAGGCCCGTGCACATTCAATATATTTCTTAGCAATAGCTGCCACACAGAAAACTTCGGATAGATAGATACAATACAATACAATACATTCTACTGATTACCTTTCCCTTCGGATTCGAATCCAAGAACCTGGTAGTTTTATCAACAGTTAAACTAGAAAAATAGATTGATGGGTATCCACCAAAGTGAAAAGAGGAAAAACCTCTGGCTACTCTAACATACCCTTGCCATCTCATATATAGGTAACACATAAGATATGGTATCACAGTCTTCCATCTCTCAAGTGAGGTAGTATTGAATGAGTAAGGATCAGATTGATTTCTCCCTTAATCTGAATTAAGCAGCAGAGACACACACGTCTATGAAGGGTCCGTGCAATGTTAAAGATGCGTGATATCACAATATTCACAACAGGTAGCCGTCCAGGCTACCTTGACTTTAATTCCGGCAGATGAAGACCAGAAGGCGTAGCACAAAACCTGCCATCATTGCCTATTTTTATAGTATTAGTAGCACTATCTCAAATCATAACCTCGGCGCCTACAAGTAACCTATAGTTGAAACCACTCGAAAGATATGAGCCCCAGCGTGCCCATTTCTGACCTCTTCGCTAGCTCATCCCACATTCCGGCTGCATATCATCTCTCAAGATGTGAAGCCCCATTGCAGCAGAGGCGCCTCGTGTGCCAACCCCCGAATTTTGAATCTCATGACTTACCTTTCACCTTGTGCTTATAATTAGCATCGTAACTTGATTATAGGCAATGGCCGGTAACTTTGGAGATAAGCTCCCGTTTGCAAGTGGAGCAGCTTCCTTATCGATCCTTGAGGAGTGGTGGTTTGGTGAGATTTGAATGGAGAACTTTTGAGAGAATGATAGGACACATGTTGATGGGAGGTCCTCGATTCTAGATACGCTTGTATTTCATTTCCACTTCGATTCGGATGCGATCCTTCTTGGCTATCTTGGATACGCAAAGCATATTCAGCAATTATATCGGCATCTCTAGAAGGTAAAGAATACGTCTTTGAAGGTGACTTGTGGCTGTAAATGTCTCAGTAGACGAAAGAGCGCTCATCTCTTACCAGTATCGAGCTCAACTGTACACACCTATGATCATGAACGTAATCTCTATTAATCTAGGAGATTATTCTCGATATCTATCAGTGGTGTCACCTCCGAACTTTTAGCTCTCATAGTAAAATCTGCTGGGCCGAGATTTAGTAACAAAGTCCTCCTTTAGATAAGGATTTCCGATCGCTTTCGCGCTTTATATCATCTTCATCTCTCAACACATCCCCCTATCACCATTATGATGAGGCTAACCACAATCAGGTAGATGGTAGGATCGAAGCCCTTGTCATCACCAACCCTTGATCATGGAGGAATAGCCATCCGATGAGTTTCCGGAGCGTACCCAGCTACCGATACGGAGATGGTGGATTGGATCAAGTCGACCTCGACTGTTACAAAGAAGGGAAATATAGATGAATATGGGCACCTCATGTGGTCCAGGTGTCTAGGCCTCGCCTGGCTGGGGCTGTAGGTTTTTTGAGACCTTTTCCCGCGCACGCAGTTTCCATTGCTACCATTTTTATTTTTTTGGGTAGAAGGTTCCGTGGAAAAGGTGGCCGAATTCCACGGGTAAATACTGAGCTTAATGGCTATTCATCAAGGGCAATATATCAATGACCCTTCAAATAACAAAAGAGTATAGGAGCACTGTACAAGGTATGGCCTGGGTGAGAGAAGAGGCATAATGTGCTAGAAATTCAGACTCAAGTAGTACAGTAAACCATATACCACCCCTTAGAAGTTCTTAATTGATTGTACACTTGTAGGAAACCCTCTGCCCTTGATAATAACCCTTCTGAAGTGGAAATAAGCGTCCATGGGCGAAAGTTTTGGCCCAAAAAGGCTGCCCGAAAATTGGGCATCCTAACTCAATCGTGCTCCACATCTCATTCAAATCGTAACCACGACTATCCTCTCCCTCAAATAATTATCTTTGAAATTCATCAACTCATCAAAATATTTGCATCGTCAGGACTGAAGTCGATATCCGGAAGGTTTAAATGTTTGAATCCAGTACTGTTCTTCAGTTAAATCCGCTACGAAACTTCTTCCATTAGCCCATAGCCAAGAGCACTTGGTAGGGGATATTGCAGGACAAAGAGGTGATTTATTTCAATCAATAAAGAGAACAAATATGTTAGATTATTAGTGTTTTTGTCTTCCTGATGGACAGTATCTTTGCTGCCTTAGCCTAGGACGTTGAACTAACTTTTTAAAAATGGGCTCATATCTTGAGAATGTTAAAGATTAGCTTTCCATCTACCGGAGAGTTTAACTCTTGCAGTAAATAATTATTAGCCATCAGGTAAGATAATGGTCTTATCTTGGCGGAGGCTTATAAAACTTGAATCCTCGAAGCAATCAGGAGCCTTTAACTCGTGTTTTATCAGGTGAAAATTGAACCTATATTTAATCGGTATTTACACCATATTTTGTATGCCTCTCCAGTTCTAGGTGACTGTAATACAATATAAAAAGTCCCAAACCTTTTCAGGATACTGCGGGCTTCATTTCCGTCGCATCTCATCTCCTATCTATCTCCAGTCACTTGCGAGAGATGAAGGTCATATTTTGATGCATAACTGCGTCACATGATTTAATAGATGCCCATATAGCTACTTAATCCTATTTTCTAGTCGTTTGTGAGTTGGGATGAAGTTGTGACATAATAATGTGTTTGATTTCGCCGTTAACGTTTAAAATATGCTGTTATATTGAGGATTGACATCTTCGTGAGGTCACCAGGTGTATTTTCAACAACTTGCCTGCCAGGAATATATTGACAACCAGTCCAGAATATGGAGTCCTATCCCGACTCAATTTTCTGAAAATTTAACGTGTGTTGTGATTCAAATTAAAGCCAAATAAGATAGCCTATGAATTGCTACCAAGGATCTTAGCACCTTTCTCTCTTACGATTCCATCGAGAATCTTCCTGACTTGCTTGCAGCCATCCAAGGCCACGGCGAGCATTCCCTCGAAGCGACCTAGTTGAACTTTAGTCTCCATCATCAGTACAGAGACATCATTTGAAGCACCAAGTGTTGCTACGGTTAGTGAAGGTAGTTCTTGTTCTTCCATATTGTTCAGGTCAAGTATTGGATCAGCTGCTTCATCATTGGAAGAGTACGACGAGGTTGATCCTGCCGTACACGCACTGATGTAATCACGCATCGGAATGCCGGAATCAATAAGGGCCAATGTCGATGCGTTGATAAGTGCCGCTAGAATTGAACCGTCTTGAGATAGAATATCAAGATTTATGCTGATAGTGCTAAAAGGGTAGTGATTTGTGAAGAGAGATTCAGCAAAGGCGTTCGCAATGATTGTTTGCATCTCTGTAAGCCGCCTTTAATTAAATAATAAGATTAGATGATATAGATTTCTCAAGGGCTTTGATGAGGAGACCTACTTGTCATTTTTTGCCTTTCGTTTTCGATCCACACCACTAAATCCCGCAATGTTTATAGCAACTTGTATATCCGCCCTGTCCACTCCACCGACATTTGTTGATGCTAGCCTTGTTGTAGCTTTTCCATCAGATGGACCAGTGATCGTACAGATAATTTTTGTATTGCCCATTTCTAAATAGGAGGATCCATCAGCCGAAGGTTGAGTACTGATCTGAGCAGAGATCCTTCGGAGTTCATTCCATCGTCTACCGTCCAACCTTAATAGCGCAAGTGAGTAAGTTGAAGTATCGAGAGGCATTGCAGTAAATTTTAAATCTCAAGTTCTAGAGTTAACGTTGCTAATTAATTAAGTACAAATGGGCATTTGTTAGGGTCCTGCTAGTAATCGTGTCCCTAAGAGGTGATGAGTAAATCTGATACTAAGTACACTTCCGTTGGGTGTGTAGTGTTTAAGCTAAATAATTTAAAAGTTGATGGTACTCCTTGTGCCTGCATTGAGCTGATGAATGTAATTGATCGGTACTGACGAGAATTATTCACAAATGGAATAAGCGAATCGACCATTGTGTGCTATAATTTATCTTGCGATATATTCACGTTCTCTACGCTCTACTGAACCATTTCAGTTAGACATCCTCTTACAACTCGTGTGGAGCTTTCTCGCACAAAAATTAAATTTATTGTGCACACTGTTCGTGGTGGAATGTCTTTGCTAACATCGACGCTAGGGGTTGACTGCAGGAGTGCAGCCGACACCGCAATTACTTTTAAGGTTGGTAATCCAATTAAGTTTTGAATATTTTGGATACTCATTACACTTGAAAGAGGTTCTCACTGCGTTGAATCCCGCAAGATTCAATGTCATATTTTGGTGGCGTTCGCGTGCTCAGTTAACAGAGAGTTAAATCTCCCCTTAGTGAATTACTCACCAAGAAAGGTCGTCTTTTCTGTGCAAACAAACATACCTCACAGTGGTATCTGCAAATAAAATCCGGATTATGGGTGTCTCCAAAGTCAGAAGAGTTAACCAACATGTTCACAATTTCGTGCGGAGAAAAGTTGAAAGATAATGGAGGCATGTCTGCATAACTCAGGGTTTTTGAGACGTTTCCCTGGATGGGTATTCACGAATGAGGGTTGACTTGGGGTGAAGAAAAAGCTACCATAACTTCGCAGTGGCACCTGCAACTGAAATCCGAGGCATGAGTGCTCTTCTTGTAAATTGAGTCATCTTTTCTGTACTTTTATTTGATATTGTATCATAGCTAAATAGCTGCATACGCAATTAAAATCTGATGCCCAAAAAAACGTTCACATAGTATTGATCATGTCACAGCTAGAAAATTGAAAACACAAAATATGACATATAAAGCAAGTTAGCTGCACAACAATGGCATCTAGATTATCTGTCAGCTTCGCTATATCGATCCAGTGGTTCATTGGTACAAACCCCATACTATCTGGAGTGTAAATGTCATATATTTATTTTTATTATTTGTTCATTTTATTGTCCTGTCAAATTCTATGACTATGTAATACATGCAGGTCCCATACCTCTCATACAGCTCCCCTCAAATAGTACTACCCCTCACAAGTCCTGGAAGATCTGACGAAATCTCGGTCTTGGCGCCCACAAACATTCCTGTTGATAGCACTCGGTGGCTACGGCTTCTAGCATATGCTTGAATACTGGTGTGAAATGGTTGTGTATTGGTTGTCTCTGTTCTACGTACATGATGAGGGATCCACATCAGTATTCACGTGGGTGCCCGTGCACACCACGCTTATCCTTGCTGCCTAAGGTCTCTCAGTACCATATGCTACTATGGATCCGAACAATTCCACATTCGAAAACCCCTCGGAAGTATCGGTCCCATCATGGTCTTCAAAGATCTCATCTCACTCTGGCTCCACATCTCCGCCGTCTGTCATCCCTCAAGTTGTTAGTCTCATTAGAGCAATATTTCCTCATAAGCCAAGACCCAGGCAATGTATTTTTCGACTTGTTTTCTTCTATGCAGGTATAAATAGCGTCGTAAATTTGCAGTGGGAGATGGTTCGTACTTGATGGGGCAATCTACTGTTTGCAGTTGAAGTTACACCTTTATCGGTCGTTGAGGCGAGATGATGCGTGGTTAGAAAGCGGTTGACTACTCAGATGAGAATGACAAGAGAGTGGTACGAGTTTACCTGCTACTGGTTGTCTGGGCGGAGGGCAAGACTGAACACCTGTAATCGGTGTCCTCTGCGAATTTGGGAGTGAAAATTTCTCCTAGAGCCAAGTTCAGTTGAATTTCGCAATTCCGAACAAGTTGGCCCACGAGGCAAAAATTCAAAATACTCCGCTACGTCAAATCTTCAATCCCAATGAGTCCGAATCCTATCCAAGCCTCATCAAGTCTACAAGTACGATCTAGTACATCCTCATTCCAATGATCACACCTCTCGTCGACTTTCTCTGGCCTCAGCTGGTCACCAAATACACGCCCACGCCCATATTTATATTCGGAGGAGGAAGCAAAGCGTGGAGCACAAATCTGGGAGACAGTTCTTTGGGATGGATGTGAGAGAGGTAAGGACAAGTTCACGAGATGATGCAGAGAAAGGATACAGTCTCGACAAGCATGAAATTACGAACTTTGGCATGGAATTTTTACAAATTGAGCTTTGTGCGCGCCAAGAATTCGCTTGCAACAGTGAAGCTAACACTATAAAAACAAGCCGACGATGAAAGGTGCCGTGGACCGCCTCCTGGTGATGTTCTCTGGTATAGTATGAGTAGCCTGGGCACCTACTCCACTTGAGAAGGGGACAGATCAAAACATATTTCGCGCGGGGAAATATGAACGGATGATGGAGACATGCCTGCATAACTCAGGGTTTTCGAGACGTTTCCCTGGATGGGTATTCATGGATGAGGGTTGACTTGGGGTGAGGAAAAAGCCACCATAACTTCGCAGTGGTACCTGCAAAGGAAATCTAAGGCATGAGTGCTCTTCTTGTAAATTGAGTCATATTATCTGTACTCTTCTTTGATATTGTGTCATAGCTAGATAGCTGTATATGCAACTAAAATATGATGCAAAAAAAAAAGGTTGTCTGGGCTGACCTGGGTGCCCAGCCTTGCATATAATTCGGACTTGGCGAAAGGCCCAGCCTCTCGCACAGAACAAGTTCTTTCTATAGTGCTTATGTAAGGTAATCGTCAGGGCGCACTTTGTGTCAGCACGATCCAGTTGTAGTTATCTCTCCCATAGAAGAATATTAATTGAATTTGATTTCATTATCCTAGTTTGGCGCCCTATGGGCCCATGCAGGTGTCTATCACACTTTCTAATTTACATGGGAGGAAATAATTTGTAAAAACCCCCCAAAGCTTCCTGTTTAATTTCTATGTTTTTTCTGATGTATCCTTTAGGAAGCGCAGTTACACATTAGTGCTCTCCATGTAACCTAATCACATCAGCTTTATCGAACTCAAGAAAGGCATGATCTGTTCCTTTCCCTAAGCAGCATTTCGACCGCCTTTGTCATCTGGAATTGCTCTATCCAACCATGGTTTAGGATCCACTGTGCTATCCTTTTGATATCTCCAGGATTGTTGAGCATAGCTTCGTAGGACCCATCTTTCGCTTGTCTCCAGATCTCTCCTCTTCCATTTGTCCATCGAGAGTAGGACATAATCATGTGCTTGGGGTTCTACTATTGGTAGCTATATGGACAGCTTGGACTGTAGACTCCGGGTACTTTTCTTCTATATAAATGCGAGTTGATCCCCATGTGCTCAATTCGTATTTGAATCGCTAGACTGCTTTGGACCTTTGTCAGGTTTCGGTGAAGTAGAAATGGCGATTCCTGGAGACTTATTTTCCATTGTTCCGACTTTCGGTTCTGATAGAATTTGGCTGCTCTTCAGGTTTCGGGGTCGGCGATAGCTAATTGTCGAGGTAGTTGGAGCCGAATTAAATTTTGCCAGGATTTAGCCCACTATTAGTATGCTGCGACTTTTCCTGCCTCTTTCTGCCGTTTTGTGACTGATCTTCCCCACAAATTTCCACCCAGTTTGCCAGATCTAATCTCCTATTATTGGCGCGAATGTCTTCTCTCCCTCGTTTGGGCAGCTTGACATTACTACAGGCAGATTGTACGAGCTTCTGAACTGGTGGGGTTTACGAGCGGCCAACGTATTGGAGTCTTTACTGCTTCAGGTAGGTTTCTATCGGTAGGGTGACAGTTTCGTGTTCGAGCACTCTCGTGCTAGTCGACTTATACGCTCCTGTGGCTATTTTTAAGTAGTTTCTTTGGTTGCTTCGAAGGGGTTTCACTATCCTTTCAGGTATTTTACCACCTGGCCCAAATCGGGGACTCATACGTGAAGGTCGTTCTCACTATTGTGCTGTATAGTAGCTTGGCCTTATGAAATATCGCCCCAATGTAGACTGTGTTAACCTGCTCATTACCTGGGCCCGTGTCTCTGCCTTAAGCTGTATACTTTTGACGTGCGCTCCCCAGTTTAGCTTTGGATCGAAGTAAATTCCGAGGATACGGAGAGAAGGCTGCGGGACTGTCGTGTGACCTTGTATTTCGATTGTTGCTTTCAGATTGTGTTTTTTCCTTGATCGTGAGAAGTGCATCAGCTGGTACTTCTCGGGCGCAAATCTAACCCCATGATTTATCGCCCACTGCTCGCAGACTTTATGCTTCTTTTCCAACTCTCGGCAATTTTCCTCGGTTGATCGTGACCATGTCAGGATATTTGTATCATCTTCAAACTCTACAGCTGAGGAAGAACTCGTGTTGAGTAGAGGTAGAAGTGTGCCGACGAAGAAGAGAAACAGTATTGGTGATAATGAGGAGCCTTGAGGTATCCCAGTACTGGTAGATATACGTTCTCCCTTGAATGACCTTAGCACTAGATATGTCGTCCTTGTTGTAATTAAGGGAGTAACATGACTGCATTACAATAAACTGTTCACATTAGAATAATGTGCACATGCGCCATGGGATATGATTGACCTAGATTATCACTCATTGGTATGACATAGTATTTCCCAATAGATTCCTAATGGTATCTATTGGCGCTAGGATCTCTCACATCCTTCCTTTCTCGGTTAGACAAGAACATATGTTGGAACATCCACTAGTGTGCAGAACCCCCTTATTCATGTATATAGAGGAAGGTCCTGTCACGTAGATAAATTAAGCAACTTATTCAATAGGAAAGTAAAACAATCTCCATCTTATTTACACACTTGAGAATACCAGGGAATATCCTCAAGTTCGTCCATTGATCCAAGTCCTAAGAGCATAACTCACAAACTTTACTTCTCTTAAAGCCATAGCTACCTCCTTCCATACCTTCATCCTAACGGTACTTCATTCCAGCTTCACTTTTAATAGTCCTTTCTTCTAGAAAAGACTTTATGTAAAGTCTGAACCACGTTGGTATTCTTTTTTCTCTAAGGTTATGAAGTAATCGTTCGTGGGACACATTTTCAAAAGCCCCCAATATGTCAAGCCTGAGCAGGGACGCCACTCAATTTTTGTCTTTACCCCAAATCGTATGGATCTGCTCAGTTAGAAGCTCTGCTGCGGAAATTGTGGACCTCAATGGTCTAGCTCCCATCTGCTCTTCAGGGAGAAGGTTAGATTTTTCGGGTGCTGGAGAATATTAAATATTTATGGTATTGCTTGCATGCGCTGACCGTCTGCTTTAACCTTTCACAGAGAGGCATTGTGGAGAAGTCTTCAAATGGAGATGTGCTTGAGATTGCTTTAGACTTCGATTCGGATGCGATTCTTCTTGGCTATCCCAGATATGCAGAGCATATTGAGCGATTACACCGGCATAAAACCATACTCTATTTTCATACGAGTAATAGAGCCAGTATTAAACCCCTAGGTGACCTCATTTCATAAGAGTTTCCTTTGATATCTTCATTTTTTTGAGTAGAATTTTCCGTGGAAAAGAAGAGGACTTTTATCAACACCTTTCAGTGGTGTTCCCTCCGAAACCTCTAACTCTCACTGTAGAGTCTGCAGAGTCAGGATAGAAGAACAAAGTTCTCACTTCGGTGAGGATTCCCAATGGCTTTCACGGTCGTGGTAAGGTCGAAGCCCTTCTCATCACCAACCCTTGATCATGGAGGAATAGTCATCCGATGAGTTTCCGGAGCGTACTCAGCACACGATACGGAGATGGCGGATTGAATCAAGTTGACCTCGTACGTTACAAAGAAGGGAGACTCAGATGAATATGCGTACCTTATGTGGTCCCGGTGTCTAGGGCCGGCAAAAACGAATTCTTCACTTTCCAGTGGTGCCTGTGTAATCATTTAGTATGCTCTACATATCTGTGATAGCCAAGAAGAATCGCATCCGAATCGAAGTCTAAAGCAATCTCAAGCATATCTCCATTTGACGACTTCTCGACAATGCCTTTCTTATCATTCTCATCTAAGTCCTCAACCTCTTTCTAACCACGCATCATCTCGCCTCGACGACCAATAAAGAAGTTGCTCCAATTGTATACAGGAGCTTGCTCCATTAATTTCCAGCAATCTTTCACTAGATATTTACGATGTTATTTATACCCGCAAGGAGGAAATCAAGTCGGAAAATTTAAAGCCTGGGTCTTGGTTCATGAGTAACTGTTGCTCTAATGGGAAAAACAACTTGAGAGAGTACAGGCGACCGGGGCGTGAAAAGAGACAAGAAAAAAACCTCTTGTGGGAATAATGGGTCTGATATTTTCGAGGGGTTTTCAACTTTGGATTTTTTGTGGGCGCCAAGACCAAGATTTCAGCTAATTAGCTAGGAGGGCTTCTTTTGTCGATGAGTCAACAGTACTCCCCAGCGCCCTGGACGGCTCAGAAGAAGTTGGGCTAAGCTGCCATACAGCAATCACGCTCTGTCAAGAATTTTCTGACATTTCAGCACGACCTTCGGCAAGGAGTTGGAAGGGGGCTAGAAGGACAGATGGTCAATTCACCGAGGTACCCACAAGTCTGCAGCGTCCAGCTGGCCGACCCCTTCGAACGCTTCAGAAGGGTCACTATCTCTTCGGATTTAGTCCTAATTTCGGTATTGGGAAAGTTCCGCATTCAGTGGCTCTTACGATTTTTCCCGGCTGCCATATACCCGCAAACGGCCATCGTTTCGTTGGCTGGAGAGGGGAGATGGTGAAGGGCTAAGGGCTCCTCTAAGTGTTTGATCGAATGAGGACTTGTGAGGGGTGGTACTGTTTGAGGGGAGCACTATGGGAGGCATAGGAGGGGACATTATTAAAACCTTAGTCCTTGTATTGTGTAATGATCACTTTAAGGAGTTCTAATATAAAACATGGAAGGTAGACTTGTCTATGTAATCAACTCGTTGGAGGTATAAAATGATTATCCATAAAATCGGATCCAACACTCGAGATTTACATCTTGAGTGCGGGTTCGTGTACGCTAACAAAACAACCCAATAACCACGTGATAAACAAGCTAATTGTACAGGGTATCTTGCTCTCCGGTTCTCCTAACTCCTGGCTAATGATGACAACTCAGACCCATAATAAGGGTCATGAGGATCCTGGAATTGCAATGCATTAGACTTATTTCTCAACAGATATGCTACTGGTATAGGTATCTTTGGTCTGTAGGCAGAGAGGACCTTCATGTCCTACATAGTCATAGACTCAGACAGGACAATGAAAAAATTACATAATTACATTACGTAACCAGCTCCATCTCTGTAGTCAAAGCCCCTGCGTGTCTGTGTCTTACAATAGACTAGGGACTCAAAGCCCGCCTGTAATTAGTATCACAGAATGCCTGGTAAGTCGTTAAGTCAGATGTAAGTTGATTGTCCCCTGTTCCAACCGTAAACTCCTAATGATGCTAATTCTAATTAATATTACATAATAGCACATGACCAGGATACACACCCAACGGGACCAGCATTCCGAAGACCGACGCTGAGTAAGGGGTTGTCATCTCTTATCAGTTTTCCTTGGCAGCAGTCCAATTAAAGGGGAAGTTAATGAAATTTGGAAAAAGTTTATGAAGTTATGGTGGAAAGGAACGTCCCCAGCATTAAGCCGGGTCGGTTCAGAGTTGCAGGACAGTGGGTTTTTTTTGTTGAAAATCTTTTCCTTAACCAAATCGGCATACCGTCTTCTTAGTTCTGCACATAGATACCGCATAGGATGTTGAACAATAGAAATTCATCCATTCAACGTAAACTAGCATGACAAATGCAACTTTAGTTTCAGATTTCGAGAAAATTTCCGATATTGCAACTAACGACAATTAATCAGTCGAATTTTACAATACTCATATCAGGAACAGAAATTTGTTTCCCAGGCGTGGTGATTAAACCGAAATGAGTTATGATTGTTCAATGTTATTGCTATTATTTTGTAGGTTGGAAGAAACATTCAAAAATTTGACTAACGTTAAGTGATTTTTACGAGAATAAGTCTCTTATTCTTTTTGCGATAAGGTTATATTTCGTTCCACCAATATTTTTTGAAACTTTACTTTAATAAACCATAATTTTTACTTCATAAACTTGTAATTTCAACCCAAGCTCCAAGTACACCATTCTTAGATGAGACATATCTTGAGCCGATGCGACAAACATTTTCGATTATATCATATCCATAATTTGAATGTTTTTTTCTAGTAGCAGTCTGAGAGTAGTTAGCATTTGATTGCTAAATAATTCTGTATATTAAAAATTCCGCTCTAAATTTCAATCTACTGGACTGACAATAAAATAAAAAGGAAACGATGTGGATTCTTATCAGCTACGTCTCCTTGCGTGTCAGCACTGGCTTGAAACCAAAAGTTGACGAACTAGAATTAGACTGATTTTCAGGTCGACGCCTATTTATAGCTAGTGCCAGATATAGAAATGGGTTACTTGAAGCTAATATTGACAATATTTATTGAAAATATCATATTTAAATCTTAAAATTGAACAGAAACAAATTATATTAACAGTTTTGAGAACTTTAAGCCATGCAATGGCTTAATGTTTGCCTCTCACTGTGAAAGATTTGTAGCTTATAGAGCAGATGTAAAACAGTGCTTACTTATCGGCTGTTTTGATTTTGATCAGGCAAAGATTGATACGTATAGATGGTAATTCTGGTGAATAATATTAAGATGGCAAGAGATTTCGTATCAAAATGCGACAATGCTTGACCTACAGATTCTCTAATTGTGGTGAAGTTTCTTATTATTCTATGCAAAAAATTGTACATTTTTATGCTGAGAGACATGTGGTGCAAACCAAGAATAGAAACAAACATTGATGAGCCAAATATGAAGCACTTACGTGTAGAATTTCTGAAACGTCTCTCCTCTTCATGTGAAAGACCAAGGCTCTCTTCTGATTCTGAATTGAGTCGCATTTCTTTAGCAGGATGTCGACTTCCTCGCCGATTTTTTGGGCTTCTAGAATAGCGTGGAAGTCTTGAGCTAGCCGAACTTTCTCGTGGACTACGATCAAGGCCAGTATTATGGTAATTAGAATCATACATGTGAATTTTCTGCTGAGGGTATCCAGTTGAATATTTGTGATTAGAATCACTTCTATGTACCTTACTTGAATAATCAATTTCTCGATCCCTATCATGATCAGTTTTGTCGCCGAGTCCAAGCGCAGCTAGACCTTTCCTAGCAAGATCAGTGACACTCATCCCATTATTCTTGTTTTGTCTGTTATCTTCACGTCCAAGAGACGAACTACGACTATCGTACGAAGAAAAGCTCTCACGCCTTCTTCGGGATGATCTCTGAGATGACCTCCGGTATTTGCTTTGCCTTGACCGTGAGCGGGACCGTTCTACTAATCTGTTGCCTGCTAGGGTAGCTATTCCAGCCGATGCCAGCGCAGCTAGATTATCTTTTGTGTCCCTGACTGGTCCCTGGGAACGGGATCGGATGCGGGATCTACTTCGGGATGATCGGCTCTCATCTTTGTGCCTTGAGCCGTTGATCAATTGATTACCCGCAAGTCCTGCAACTACTGCTTCTAATATATGGTGCTTCCTATCACCCGCAGCATCGACAGCACTTGCTCCAATAGCAGCAGTTAAAATTCGCTTGCCCTTTTCTCCCGACCACCCTCCAGGCTCATTCCGGACTCGGAATGCTTCAGTCGCTCCAGCTAAAAGAGCAGCCCTGGCAGCTTGTTGTAGATAGGCGACACTCTCGGGCGGTAGAATGTTAAGACTTCGGGTATCAATATTTTCACTATCCCTCCTATTCATGGGTTTTGTTTTCCTGGACCTAATTCTTCTATCACTTTCCGAGTAATGATAATTATTCTGCCTACTGCCCATGTTATTTTGGTGTGCTCGATCCGAATTATTCTCATTCGTTTCTAGAGAATGCTTCGAGAAGATTTCAGCTCCTTCGTATCCAGCTAGGGCTCCAGCGGCACCGATCACTGCCTTGTGAATATTATTCGTAGGAGCTGTTCGTTTATTCGAGTTTCGACGGTCCCATAACTCTTTACCGCCAACAGCTAATGCGGCTCCACCTACAGCTGCCATGATCATTTCATTACGAGAGAGGGAATGATGACGATCTTTTTTTTTCCTAAGAGAAAGCGAACTTTGTCGATCAGGACGACTTTCTATATCGCTGTATGAGCAATTCAGATCCCTAAAGCTTCTTGAACTACCTTGGTGAGTCCCATATTTATCTAAGCGAGTACGAATAGATGGACTGTACCAATTGCCTCTTTGTGGATATGAATCGATTCCTGGAGGAGAAAAGTCTCTTCTGATTTCTTCGACAGATGATAAATCACTACCCTCACGAAGTGGTCGATGAGTGATTTGGTGATTCCGGGGTTTATGGGAAGCTTCAGATACGGAATAGGGGTGAGAATTGTAGCTGTCTCGACCTTCTGCGTAAGAACCATTGTATTTGTCTTTTTTATTGGAATGGTCGTGCGATCTACGTCTGCTTTCTGGCGTTGACATGACTTTGTGTTTAAAATGAATATCGCTGTGAACACATATATCAGCCTCTAGGAAGTAATTAGTATCGAGAGAGAGAGTAGATATATAGTTAGCTTGTGACGCTCAATGACCTTCTACGTCAGAGTGGAATTAAGATACGACGTATGTGTACATGAAGATAACGTAATTGCGCATTAGTTGGCATGCGGGTCAATTAAGACTGCACTGCACTGCGCCACTTGAAGTTGAATTCATTTCTTGATTGGACACAGAAATTACCCCTAGCGATTCCTCTAAATAACCGGTGGAGAATGATACCATCTGCAGGTGGCCAAGCCTTACAGAGAGGTGAAGTATTTGCTTTTAGCGAGATGGGCTACATGCTGAGTTTGGCTATAATGCTAACTCGGATTAGATTGACTCAAAAATATCAGATAATTAGTGCCGAATAATTCCTATTGACACCTGGAGAGGGAAGATAATGACACGATAACGGCTCCCCTTAGTTTGAACCCGAATAAAAACCTGTGGAGTTATCACTACTGGAAAGAAGTCGTGAAGGAGGCATGGGAGGAAGTACATTACCTGAGTCATGGATACTCCCAGCCTGTAGGCAGAAGGTCCAACAAATCCTACATAGTTAAAGATTTTATAGGACAATAAACACATACAAACAATTCGTATAAACAGAATAATTACCCTTTCTTGTTTCCAACAGTTAGGAATGGGTGACTATTATCAACATCTGTCAGGGTTGTCCATTCCGAAATCTCTAACTCTCACTGTAGAGTCTACAGTGCTAGATAGTCATAGACTCAAGTAGCACAATAAACACAAACACACTGTAGAGTCTGCAGAGTCAAGATAGAAGAACAAAGTTCTCACTTCGGCGAGGATTCTCAATGGCTTTCACGGTCGTGGTAAGGTCGAAGCCCTTCTCATCACCAACCCTTGATCATGGAGGAATAGCCATCCGATGAGTTTCCGGAGCGTACTCAGCACCCGATACGGAGATGGTGGATTGGATCAAGTTGACCTCGACTGTTACAAAGAAGGGAAATATAGATGAATATGGGCACCTCATGTGGTCCAGGTGTCTAGGCCTCGCCTGGCTGGGGCTGCAGGTTTTTTGAGACCTTTTCCCGCGCACGCAGTTTCCATTGCTACCATTTTTATTTTTTTGGGTAGAAGGTTCCGTGGAAAAGGTGGCCGAATTCCACGGGTAAATACTGAGCTTAATGGCTATTCATCAAGGGCAATATATCAATGACCCTTCAAATAACAAAAGAGTATAGGAGCACTGTACAAGGTATGGCCTGGGTGAGAGAAGAGGCATAATGTGCTAGAAATTCAGACTCAAGTGGTACAATAAACAAACACACATCAAAGGGTTAAGAATGCTCAAATAGTCCCAAAGATTAAACACAGAAGATTAACTGTGACATACAGCGTGAAAATTTTACTCTCTGACTTCATTACAATTTATAAATTTCTTGTCTCACGATTAAATCGTCTGAAAATATGCAAATTACCCAGGGATAATAGCCAATTTTACAATTTCAGGACCTGGAGCACATCAAAAAAATATCCATATCACAACTTAGGCCACCGTCGATACAAAAATAAAACTTGCAAGGGCTTTCTTTGCGACCTCGAAGGCACTCTATTATTATTGTTATAGAAACGTTATCATGCAGTCAGGTTCAGTTTGAGGCTAGAGACTGAACACCTATCAGCCGTGTCTTCTATTAACCTGGGAGTGAAATGTCCTCTTAGAGCCATGAGCATTCAATATTCTCATCAATGATAAATTTGGCCCATGAGACAATGGTCAAATACTCTTTATCAAATTAATCTTTCGCTTCTAACAAGACTATTTCAACCCAAAACCTTATCAATTCCATCAATACGGTCTAGCACATCATTATTCCTATAACTATGCCTTTCTTCGACTCAGTCTCTAGCCTTAGATAGTCTCTAAACATGCTCACACGCCGATATTTATAACCACCAGAGGAGACAAATCTGTGAAGCTGTTCTTTGGAATTGATATGAGAGACATCAGGATAGATGGACAGGATGATGCAAGCAGTAGGTGCAATTCCGAAAGGGGTGAGATTTCGAAACTTTGCTGGGAGTTTAAAAATCGAATATCTCTGTGCGTGCCAAGTCTTTGATATAGGTGCAGGAGACACTTAAAGCAGTGTCATGACTGGCTAGTGGTGTGGTTCATCGTCCAGGTTGGTCTGTCAAGTAAATTGGATCTCTTGTACATGAAAAATCTGGTTCGAATCCAGTAATATTACAAGTAATTTCTCGCGGCGCAGATGTGCGTGGACGAAGGCATGCTGTGATAACCAAAAGATATGAAACTTCCCTTTGGTGGGTATCCACGGAGAAGGGTCAACTGTTAGTGTAAGCAAAAATACCTCAGTAGTACTTGCGAATGAAATCCAAAGTGTAAATGTCCCCTATATAAAAAAGTTTACCCAACATGTACTTATACCACTGATCATTAGTCATAGCTAGGAAGCTCCATGCAATAAATTGATCAAAAGACTCGGGTTTATTTGCCCAGTGGAAGTTCATTCGCATGAGCGGCTTATTGGCCGAATAATATCACCCTTTACCAAGGTATTAGAACTGAGCCTAGTTACTCCAACATTGAATTCTAATAAAAATTTGAGTTCCCGGACGGTATCCTCTTTCATTGAGCCCACTAGACGTTAGATGAACATTGATGGTGTGGCTAGGCCTAATAGTTGTTGTTTTTCATCTTTAGTGCTCAACAATTCGTGTGCGCTCACAAAAACACATCCCGTATCCCGTGCAGAAATTAAATCTTCACACTTTAATGTAGCGACAAAGTCATATCGAGGCTATTAAAAACCTCAAATTATAACTCCTACAAATCTTCCACTTCAGTGTTATGAAGATTAGCTTTTGGGTCTGCGATGTTAATCAGTACTCTACAAAAGGTAAGAATGACGTTGTTGCTAGCTCGTCTTTTCACAAGATCTTGATTGGATATGATGTTTACAACTAATCTAGCCCTGGCCATCTTTACAACAACTATAGATCCCAACGGCCTTAATAAGTGACTATATTATTTTTCATGCGCATGTTGACATCCGGCCAAGACTACTGCAAGACAACCCAAATTTTAACATATTAATGCTATCATCAAGTCTTCGCTCTGGAGGGCAAGACTGAACACCTGTACGCGGTGTCCTCTACGAACCTGGGAGTGAAATATTCTCACAGAGCCAAGTTCTGTCAAATTTCGCAATATCAAAGAAGTTGGCCGGCGAGGTTATCATTCAAACTACTCCGCTACGTCAAATCTTCACTCCCAATGAGTTGGAATCCTATCCAAGCCTCATCAAGTCTACAAGTACGACCATGTACATCCTCATTCCAATGACCGCACCTCTCGCCGACCTTCTCTGACCTCATCTAGTCACCAAATACGCGCCCACGCCGATATGTTTACCTGATGGAGGACACAAAGCGTGGCGCACAAATCTGGGAGACAGTTCTTCGGGATTGGCGTGAGAGGATTCAGGACAAGTTGACAAGATGATGCGAGGGATGAATACAGTCTCGACGGGCGTGAAATTTTGGCATGGAGTTTTCGCAAATTGAGCTTTGTGCGTGACAAGACTTCGGTTGCGAGAGTGCAGGCGACACTATAAACACCGCCATGGTTGGATGGTGCGGTGGTACATCGTCTTGGTCGGTCTGCCAAGTAAGGTTTGGATAGTTTGGAAACCTATCCCACTCGAGACAGTAGATCGCTGTTTCAAATCCCGCAAAACATAACCACATTTCTCGCGGCGCTGGTATGCATGGATGATGAAGGCATGCTTGGATAACTAAAGGTTTTGAGACGTCCCTTTGGTGGGTACTTACGGAGGAGGGTCGACTGTTTGTGTAAGCGAACATATCTCATAGTGGTATTTGCAAATGAAATCCAGAGTATGAATGTCTCTAACGTCAAAAGAGTCATCCAACATGTATACGTAGTACCGGTCATGTGTCATAGCTTTATAGCTGAATACACATGAAATGAATTAAAAAAAAAGTCTTCTCTCTTACCCACAAGTCCCGAGGTTCACTTCCAAGTCTTTTATCCTTATTATTTGCGCCAAAAATACAGGAAGGTATTGTGATTGGGTAAACGTTCTAATCTTGCGGGCTAAAATATAAAAAACAAAGTATCAGGAGCCTCATTCCAAAATGACCGATAAGAATAGGATCTACGCTTCTAGACAAAATTTATCCAGGCAACTACTGCCAGTCATCTGCAAGACCTAACTTTCATGGATTCTTTGAGTCACAATCCCTGGCTTCTAGATATGCAAGAGCTCAAGACCTTGTGGTTAATTAAGCTTTAAAATATGGGTTACGTTAAAACAAATCTCTAGGCCCGTTACGGAATTCATGCAACATCTCGTCATTGTGGGATAATATTAGAGCTTAACCATGAAAATTCGAAGACTAGCATAGGTAGAGAATTAAAATACTCATACAAAAGGTTGAGTCACTTACGCCTTAAAGGAGGTGGGGCTTTGGAGATTGAGAAAGTCAAAATTTCGGCACAATCAAAAGTTATCAAATCATCACAAGACCTATCTAACATGATGTAATCCCACGTCCTGTTGAATAGGCTATGTCTCGGCACCTGATTACATAACGATATACTTTAGGATAGAAGATGTCCATGTCTCTTTCTATTCTATCTACAACAGTGATACATCTATGATTAAATTGCAAAGGGCTCAGTTTTCAGCCTTGTAGCCGACAAAGACGAATTCTCCACCTCATTCTTTTTGCACCAGATTTTAATTGCGTACGCAGCTATCTATCTATGACACAATATCAGAAAAAAAAAACAGAAAATATGGCTAAATATACAAGAAGAGCACTCATGCCTTAGATTTCATTTGCAAGTACCACTGCGAAGTTATGGTGGCTTTTTCTTCACCCCAAGTCAACCCTCATCCGTGAATACCCACCCAGGGAACCGTCTCAAAAACCCTGAGTTATCTAGACATGCCTCAATCATTTATTTACTTTTCCCCGCGCGAAATATGTTTTGATCTGTCCCCTTCCCAAGTGGAGTAGGTGCCCAGGCTACTCAGACTGTACCGGAGTTCACCTCTAGGAAGCGAATCACGGGACCTTACATTGTTGACTTGCGTTTACAGTGTCAACTGCTCTCTCAAAATTGGAAGCTTGGGCACAAAATACTTTTCAATTTGAAAAACTCCTCGCCAAAATTCCAAGTCTCACACCCGTCGAGATTGTATCCTTCCTTTGGATCATCTTGTGAACTTGTCCTGATCCCTCTCACGTCCATCCCAAAGAGCTATCTCCCAGATTTGTGCTCCACGCTTTGCTTCCTCCGTCGTGTGTGAATATCTGCGTGGGCGTATATTTAGTGGTCAACTGAGGCCAGAGAAGGTCGAAGAGTGGTGTGGTCATTGGAATGAGAATTCACTAGATCTTACTTGTAGACTTGATGAGACGAAGTAGGAACCGAACTCGTTGAGAGAGAAAAAATAAAGTGGCAGAGTATTTTAAATCATTGCTTCGTGTGCCAACCTCTTTGATATTGCGACATTTGACTCAACTTAGCTCTGAGATAATACTTCTCTACCAGGCTCGCGGAGGACACCGCGTATAGTTATTCAGTATTATCCTCCTACGATGGACTCGTAGCACGGAATTGTTATGCTCAGCTATGTAGTATGGTAGATCTAGAAGCTGGTGCATAGGTAGTTATTATGGCAGCTTGGCATTATGGCGCATGAAAGATACCCAGTCTCTACATAACAGCATTAAAAGTGTTACTGTGTGCAGTACGAGAGATAGGTTATTAATATAGGACAAATGGCATAGCTGAGGTTCCGAGCGCGCGTTGTATACTTAGTATACAATGGGTGTGGGTGTAAGATTGGGGTGATATCACGTGGTGTCTCGTGGCTCCTAACTACAACGGATCTTGTGTAGAGCTTGAGACTAATACGTGAATTCTATATCCTATAAGTGTCGGATGTCTATGTGTCTATATACATTAATTACTCCTTACTCCTCAACGCTAGTAGATCTACTGCTGTGGTCGCGGGCTGTGACCGCGGGCTCTGATAGTGCGATTTGCTGCGCGTGAGGTCATAGGATAATTAAGATTACGTGTGTGTGCCGTGTTTCCTACATCTAGCTAATTCGTACCCTGTAGATCTATCCGGGATCCACATAGCTGCTCAGTTGGAGGTACTCTTTGACGCACTGCATACTGGTAACGTGATCGGTCTACGGACGAACAAGCTAGGGGATAAGGGACGAGCTTCCCCCAACCTGTAACATAACAATTACCATAGTAACTTCATCCCTACATATTAATGAAGATATTTCTCCACAGACTATCTTAGCTGTTCAAGCGCAAGTGTACATTCCCAATTCATATAACAACAATAATAGGAATCAATCAATCATTCATTCTTGTATTCGCTCTAACCTTTTGGCGATTCACGTGACAATTTTACGAGGCCCTCTCTATGTTTTACAAAATCAATAACAATAATGATAATAGAGTATGGTCTTTGAATACTGCGCTTGTTTTAAAATTAATTATAGTTATTTGTGAAGATGCCACCAGCTCTATTATGTGCTGGAAAATAAAAAGATGTATATTATTATTATTTCACTTTATTGTCCTATCTGAGTCTATGACTCTGTAGGACATGTAGGTCCTCTGTGCCTACAGACCAAGGAAACCTATGCCAGTAGTATATCACCTCCTATGCCTTCCATGCCTCCCATTCAGCTACCCTCAAACAGTACCACCCCTCACAAGTCCTCATTCGATCATACACTCAGAGGAGCCCTTTGTCCTTCATTATTGTGGCGGCTAGTATGCCGGTAGATTGCCTGTAGCCTGTGCTATTCATCATATGTATACTCATTTCCTCAGCGCTAAGATACACTTGTATTGAAAGTCTGGCACTGCTCATGCACGAAACATCGTTGGTAACTAGCCCACACTTTAATAATGGGAGCCGGACTAGAGGACAGAGACTAGTGTTTGAAATATTGGGATCATGTAAATAAATTGGGCCTTGCGTGTAGTAGTAGTCTTGTTCTTCAGTTAGTAAATAAACTTACCTTTCGACATACGAACGCCCAAGCTTTATTTATCTGAACTGTTACAATTATCTCCCCTCTCCAGCCAACGAAACGGTGGCCGTTTGCGGGTATATGGCAGCCGGGAAAAATCGTAAGAGCCACTGAATGCGGAACTTTCCCAATACCGAAATTAGGACTAAATCCGAAGAGATAGTGACCCTTCTGAAGCGTTCGAAGGGGTCGGCCAGCTGGACGCTGCAGACTTGTGGGTACCTCGGTGAATTGACCATCTGTCCTTCTAGCCCCCTTCCAACTCCTTGCCGAAGGTCGTGCTGAAATGTCAGAAAATTCTTGACAGAGCGTGATTGCTGTATGGCAGCTTAGCCCAACTTCTTCTGAGCCGTCCAGGGCGCTGGGGAGTACTGTTGACTCATCGACAAAAGAAGCCCTCCTAGCTAATTAGCTGAAATCTTGGTCTTGGCGCCCACAAAAAATCCAAAGTTGAAAACCCCTCGAAAATATCAGACCCATTATTCCCACAAGAGGTTTTTTTCTTGTCTCTTTTCACGCCCCGGTCGCCTGTACTCTCTCAAGTTGTTTTTCCCATTAGAGCAACAGTTACTCATGAACCAAGATCCCAACTTTGTAAATGATGACGTGATTTCCTCCTTGCGGGTATATGTAGCGTCGTAAATTTTTTGTAGGTGATGGTCGGTAACTAATGAGGCAAGCTCCTGTTTGCGGTTGGAGTAACGCCTTTATCGGTCGTTGAGGCGAGTTAGTGTGTGGAGAGGTCAAGGTGGAGGACTCTCATGAGAATGATAAGACCAAGATCGATGAGAAATCACCAGTTACAGATATGTGTGTGTTTGCTTTCGACTTCAATCCGGATGCGATTCTTTTTGGATATCTCGGATATGCAGAGCATACTGAGCAATAACACCGGCACCACTGGAGGGTGAAGAATTCGACTTTGCCGGCTGAAAGATGCATGGAAAACATTATAGTGCGCATTCCGTTCGATAAACTGCGACAACGGAGGGCAAGACTGAACACCTGTACGCGGTGTCCTCCACGAACCTGGGAGTGAAATATTCTCACAGAGCCAAGTTCTGTCAAATTTCGCAATATCAAAGAAGTTGGCCGGCGAGGCAATGATTCAAATTACTCCACCATGTCAATCTTTCACTCCCAAAGAGTCCGATTCTTATACAAGCTTCATCGAGTCTACAAGTACGACCTAGTACATCCTCGTTTCAATGACCACACCTCTCATCGACTTTCTCTGGCCTCAGCCGGTCACCAAATACACGCCCACGCCGATATTTATACCCGACGGAGGAAGCAAAGTGTGGAGCACAAATCTGGGAGATAGCTCTTTGGGATGGACGTGAGAGGGATCAGGACAAGTTTACAAAATGATGCAGAAGAGGGATACGTTTCGACGGGCGTGTAGTTTCGAAGTTTGGCAAGAGTATTACGAATTGGGCTTTGTGCGCGCCAAGAATTCGCTTGCGAGAGTGCAGCTGACACTATAAAAACAAGCCGACGATAAAAGGTGCCGTGGACCTTGTCCTGATGTTGTTCTCTGGTACAGTTTGAGTAGCCTGGGCACCTACTCCACTTGGGAAGGGGACAGATCAAAACATATTTCGCGCGGGGAAAAGTAAATAAATGATTGAGGCATGTCTAGATAACTCAGGGTTTTTGAGACGGTTCCCTGGGTGGGTATTCACGGATGAGGGTTGACTTGGGGTGAAGAAAAAGCTACCATAACTTCGCAGTGGTACTTGCAAATGAAATCTAAGGCATGAGTGCTCTTCTTGTATATTTAGCCATATTTTCTGTTTTTTTTCTCTGATATTGTGTCATAGATAGATAGCTGCGTACGCAATTAAAATCTGATGCAAAAAAAGAGGCCTAGATACCGGGGCCACACAAATTGCGCATATCCATCAATGTCCTCTTTCTTTGTAACATTACAGGTTAACTTGATCCAATCCATCATCGCCTTATCGGGAGCTTGGTTAGGTCAGAAAACTCAACGGGCGGCTTCTGAACTACTACCAGAGAGATTGGTGGTATCAAGGGCACCTCACTGTCAAGTTTGAAGTTTTTATTTCCTAGACGAGAAAAATAGCCGGATCTACGTCTTCTCTGCACGTTAAATCTTTTATGAGAGTCGATCAGCTTCAGCATCCTTGCCCCTATGGAAGAATTAGAATTTGAGATGTTCGTGATGATGATTTATAACCTTGGCTCCCTTGCGTAGCGTTGGCACTGTAAATAGATTACTCAGCAATTCCCTAAGATTCCCAACACACAATTCCTGTAAGCACTCAACGTGTATTGTCTCCATTCTACAATGAGTACTTTTGGCAGTCCTGGCGGTAAGCAACTATCCGTGAAACCCATTCCGTATGTTCCCAGGGAATAAAAAATCTCAATAGTGCAAAGATACTAATCGGGAACTTAGACCGGAACGCGGTAGCTTTCCCTTGGATCACGAAGGTCTGCTCGCCTTCGATTTTAAGGAAAAGATAACTTATAATTACCCTCAAAGGTGAATGCAAAGAAGTTATGATACGCTACCTTTCATGTGTGAAGATGACAAAAGGCAATAATGATCCCGAATGTAGGAATTTAGCCAAGTTATACTTAGGATGTCGAATGGAGAGGTGAGAGAGCATCTACTCTCATCACTCTTAGCCTACTAAGATATATGCCTACAGAAATCTCATGGCCAAGGATGAGTTTAAAAATTTAGGCTTTTCTGACGAGAAAGATGAGCTTACGTCTGGACGTAAGGAAGAGAAGGAAGAGAAGGGAACGAAAGGCGAACTGAGGTGGTGAGCTCGAATAATGAATAATTGTGGCCAAGTAGAATATTTCACCTGAAATGATTGCATTCTGTCTAATGAAGACCTCAAGGTGATATTCTCTTGAAATATTATACTGTGTTTTTATGATGACAAACTATATCATATCTTATAAAAAGCTCATAAATACAAACAGCAGTACTAATTGATCACTGCAAGTGCATTTGCAACTTTTCAATCATCAGGTGCCTGTCAGCAACTGATGTGGCTGATTCAAGCATACAGCTGCAAATTGATCAAATCATTGTTCCTAGCTCATTGGAAAGAAGGCTAGTGTATACAGGGCTTAATCCAAGAGAATTTAGCTAAATATCAAGACTCGTCATACATTATATCTACTGATAAGAAGGAAGATGAACGAATTATATAAGCCCCCTCTACGAAAACCTCGAGACTTCGGCTGAATAGCACGGAGCAAGCGAGGTTCCAGGGCGAGCGACTATGTAGATAAGGAAGAATGTGGGTCTTCGAAGCAACATGGCCCCAAAATCAGCCTGCAACATTATCGTCTACCGCGGAGAATATTCTTTAACTGGGGCCTGACCAAATAGTTGCCTTAGTGCATTTGAGTCTTAGAGGAGTTCTTCATCCCACAAAAGCACCAGCATTCACAACAAGTGGCAGATTACTTTTGTTAAGATTCCCTCTTTCTAGTGAGAGTGAAAATGCCTTGAGAATTTTGACTTTCTGAGTCTCGGAACCCCTTACAAGGACTCTATTTCCTTTTCAAGGAAAAAAATTGTCAAGCTCTTGTCGATATGATAATCAACGACGCACACATCTGAAAGTAAAATATTCTCCTAGAACTTAATTTAGACAAATTTTGCAACGCCGAACAAGTCGGCCGAGAAAGTAATGATTTAGGACTCCTTCTAGTATCAATTACTCGCCCCCAATGAGTTAGATTCTCACTTAAGCACTATCAAGTTATTAAATCAAGACCTAGTACATCCTCATTTTGATTAAAACTTCTCTCATAACTCGGTCTAGCCTTATATGGCCTCCAAGTACTTACCTACGCCTATATTACTACTCGGAGGATACAAATTGTGATGCACAAATATGGAAGACATCAGGAAAAGTAGACAAGATAATGCAATCTTGGAGGGGAATGGATTTCGTTTTTTGGGAGGAGATTTACAAATCCAGCTTTGTGCGCGCCAAGGCTTTAATTGCAATAATACAGGCGACATAATCAAGACAATTATGTCTGGATAGTGCCATAGTACGTCATATAATACGGTCTGGCAAATTTTGTCTGGACAGCTTGAACATATATCCCACTTGAGACGGGTGATCGCTGTTTCAAATCCCGCAAAACATAACCACATTTCTCGCGGCGCTGGTATGCATGGATGATGAAGGCATGCTTGGATAACTAAAGGTTTTGAGACGTCCCTTTGGTGGGTACTTACGGAGGAGGGTCGACTGTTTGTGTAAGCGAACATATCTCATAGTGGTATTTGCAAATGAAATCCAGAGTATGAATGTCTCTAACGTCAGAAGAGTCATCCAACGTGTATACATAGCACCGGTCATGTGTCACAGCTAGATAGCTGAATACATATTAAATGTAAACGTTATTGGCTCAATCTTGTATTACAACTAAATTATTAAGGTTCTCTGTCCAGGTTCAACCAGAAAGACCGCCCTTCTTATGTGTATGTACGCACGGATCACCTTGGACGCCTGCATAACTCTCAGTCCTTATATATTACATGACTGCATAACTAGAGCTGACTATACTTAAATATGCATCCGCTCACATTAAATGATTAAAAAAAAAGAGCCCTTGATACAATCCCAATATCTAGTTTATCCTTTCCGTAATATCCCAGTTATTATTCATCCCAGCATGTTCTCATCTCTATTTTGCTGGCGAAATTTCAAACGTATTTCATTGACAGCGACTCGTCGTTATGCCCAACATTCTTCCCTGTCAGATTGATTTTGTAGGTATTGTTCTAAAACCTTTTTTTAATTTACTTAATTGTCCTGTCCCAGTCTATGATTATGTAGGACATGAAGGTCCCCTCTGCCTACAGGCTAAGTACACCTATGCCAGTAGCATATCCCCTCCTATGCCTCCCATAGTGCTCCCCTCAAACAGTACCACCCCTCACAAGTCCTCACTCGATCAAACACTTAGAGGATCCCTTAGCCCTTCACCATCTCCCCTCTCCAGCCAACGAAACGATGGCCGTTTGCGGGTGTATGGCAGCCGGGAAAAATCGTAAGAGCCACTGAATGCGGAACTTTCCCAATACCGAAATTAGGACTAATTCCGAAGAGATAGTGACCCTTCTGAAGCGTTCGAAGGGGTCGGCCAGCTGGACGCTGCAGACTTGTGGGTACCTCGGGAAAATTACCCTCTGCCTTTCTAGCCTCATTCCCGAAGGTCGTGCTGAAATGTCAGAAAATTCTCGACAGAGCGTGATTGCTCTATGATAGCTTGGCCCAACTTCTTTTGAGCCCTTGTCTGTAAGGATTTAAAGAATACAGATATACTTGAAAGACAATAACTCAATAGGAATTAATAACTTGTTCCTTGGGAAGACTATCTACTACGTACTCTCCCATACGTTATATGCTCTGTGTAAACTAGTCTTAACTCCCTCCATTGGCCACTTGAGAATCATCCTTTCTTCCGGCACAACTCTTCTCCTGTATCGTACTCCCCAGTCTGGTACGCACCCCCTTTGATACCCCCTTAGCGCCCCTTTGGTCTATCCAGGAGCGTTGCCCTGCCATTACCTTACCTCGGAGATGGAGTGGTCCTGGTGACCAGTCCCAATCCGGGCAAAGCTCGTCACATTGTCTCATCAACAATTGAAGCCCTCCTGGCTAATTAGCCGAATTCTCGGTCCTGGCTTCCACAAATGTTCCAAGGTCGAAAACCCCTCGAAAATATCGGTCCCAGCATGATCTTTACAGACCTGTTTCCCATCTCGCTCCACATCACCGCCATCTGTCCTCTCTCAAGTTGTTTGACTCATTGGAGCAACTGTTTCCCATAAGCCGATACCGGGGCTTTGTAGATTTCGACTTGATTTCCTCCTCGCGGGTTTAAAAATCGTCGAGAATTTATTGTCAGTGATTTTCGGTGACTAATGAGGCAAGCTCCTGATTGCAGATGGAGAAACTCCCTCATCGGTCGATGAGGCAAGTTAGTGTGTGGTAAGGTTAAGATAGAGGGATCCCGTGAGAATGACATGACTGATATCGATGAGGAATCACCAATTATAGATGTGTTTGTGTTTGCTTCTGGCTTCGATTCAGATACGTTTTTTCAATTCTACCGCAGAAAATTAGAGCATATTGAGCAATCATGTTGGAACTGCTGGAAGGTGAAGAATTCTCCTTTGCCATTTACAAGGATAGGGTTGCTGATATATATTTGACGGCTATCGTAGCCTGAGAGCTTAGTTGGTAGCTTCCGGACTTATTGAGATGAGTTTGGTCCATTTTTTGTTCATTAACGTGCTAGGTTAAGTGACTGCCGTTGCACTCCTACTGGAGCTTAAGCAGTAGAGGGGCCGGGCCGAATCAGGTTAACTACCGTGAAGTGCAGATAAATCTCGTCCCACCTAAATGACCGGACCACCTCAGACTTCACCTATGTATTGAATCATACCAAGCCTGACCCTCCAGAATTCCGCTGTAAACACGCCGTAGCGCAATTTCCTCCTCAGCCTCAGCTACCACGCGCCCGAGCCCTTGACATCCTCATTGACTCCGAAATATAAATGCCGTCATAGATCTCATCGTTGCCCTAGCCTTGCACCTTCATATTGTACCGTCGGGTTGTTGTCATCATTGGGGATTTGTGTAATCACCTCGGTGTATCTTCCCTTTTCTTCCTCCTTTGTACACGTCCCGTTTCCTACGTGACTTTTCTCATTAGGGCGTGCGTGGATAGGTGATGTGACGAGTATGGAGGTTGGTCGCAGGTGAAGAATCGGCTGAGAAATGGATCGTCGCAAATATATAAGGAGTTTGAGAGATGTCAGATGTTTGAATACGACCCCCAGACAGATCTAAGCCCACTCGTGAATCGTATGTTGATGGTGATGAGTTTTTAAATGACTTTGTCACGGCTGTGAAATCTCTGCCGACAGATTTTTCGACCAAAATATCGAGTGCAACTCCTTCAAGCCAAAAATTTATTAAATAAAGTTCATCCCACCCTTTTTTGTGACTCAATCTCGACTCTGGGAGAATATTTCACTCCCAGGTTCGTAGAGGACACCACCGACAGGTGTTCAGCCTCCGTCCCCCATGAGTTTGGCCTCGATGGCACTTTGGGAAAGATGCAGGTATTATAGGATGTCAAGCAATCTAGACGTAGAGAAATTCGCTTTGCGCACTCACGCAACAAAACAACTCTGACTAGAGGGGGATTCGAACCCCCGCGGGTTACCCCATGAGAAACCGAACTTTGAAGTTGGCAAGACACGGTCTTGAGTCACACGCCATAACCGCTCGGCCATCTAGCCTGTGTCTGTGGTGGCATGCACAAACTTAAGATCTCCAAATTTAGCCACACGACCGGTTCCTCTAAGCTGGGAGAAAGATGAAAAAGAAGTACACAAAAATTGTGGGTAACGGAGCCCCGATCCTAGTTCCTCTTTCCTGAGACAGTTTATAATGCAGTGTCGTGGTAAAAATAGTCGGTGGGCAAAGACTGAACACTTGTATGCGGTGTCCTCTACGCATCTAGGAGTGAAATATTCTCACAGAGCCAAGTTCAGTCAAGTATTGCAATACCGAACAAGCTGGTCCTCGAGGCACTGATCCAAGACTCTCTACAAAATCAAACTCTCCCATCCAATGAGATCGATCTCCACAGAAACCTCACCAAATTCACATGTACGACCTAGTACATACTCGTTTCAATGACGACACCTCTCATCAACTATTCTCTGGCCTAAGCTGGCCACCAAATGTACGGCCTCGTCGATATTCACACCCGAC